GCAAACATCTTTCTGCTGGACTCCTTAATATGCAGGGACCAAGAAAGATTCTGATCAATATATTATAATCCTAGGTCTTTTACAGATTTACTAAAAGGTATCACAACACCATCAACAACAATAGGTGGAAGGTTATTCCAACAAATTCTCGAGATTAGTGTGCTTTTTCAATAATAACGGCTTGGGTTTTTTTGGGATTTAAATTAAGCCCGAACGATCTGCTCCAATCAATTATTGCGGCAAGATTCGTATTGGTGTCATTGATGGCGTTGGTAAGATTCTGGAGTGATGTATGTGAGTAAATTTGGAGATCATCTGCACACATATGGTAAAGAGAAGAAATTCGTGAAGTAATAGAATTAATAAATACAGAAAAAAGGAGAGGAGACAACACCCCACCCTGTGGTACACCAGCAGTTAGTTCACACCACGTAGCTGTGGCACCCTCTACCATAACACGCTGCCGGCGGCCACGCAATAACTTTGAAACCATTCAATTGCCGCTGGAGATATGTTAATAGAACATAGCAGACTCAGCAATACGTCAAAATAAAAGAGAAGAATAATATCAATCAGTAAAGTAAAGTAAAGTTGCAGCCTATTTTGTCCCACTGCTGGCCACAGGCCTCCTCTCATTTCTGAGAGGGTTTTAGGGCAAGTAAATGTCCGCCGCGCTGCCCCAATTCGTGTTGGCGAACTTCACATGTCTTCTAAATATTTTTTTTCTTATTTCTCAAACATGCAGGTTTCCTCACGATGTTTTCCTTCATCGCCGAGCACGTGGTAAATCAGCACTTAAAATTGCAATTAACAATTTCATTGGTGCCGGCGGGGTCAAACCCGGGTTACTCGAGTACTGTGAGAAGCTTACAGCGAGCGATAACCATCTGAGCTACCACGGCTCTTAATATCAATCAGGGGGACCATCATTTTACAGCTAATTTCATCACATCCGATAGCACTTGACGACATGGACAAAACGTTCTTCTTAACATCACAATCGGAAAATTGATTGAAGGTGAACGGCGAGAAATTAAGAGTTGATGCTTTCCATAGATTGTTTAAAGTATATGATTTTATATTATCATTTAAAATTGAAGATGTACATGAGAAATGTTGATTTAGTGATTCAATAGCAACTCCGTTCTCGACTGATTTTTGAACATGGCGTAGTTGTACATCTACAAATTGTATTGCAGCGATTCCGTATGCTTCTGTACGTGTCCCTATTGTGGTCCGGTTTTACACTGTAATAAATAACTTAATAACTAATAACGTAGCTTTATTTTTTTTATTTAACAGTGATTTAATATCGTTTGTAAGTCACGGCGCAGAGGTGTGTTTAATTTTAACTGGTCTGACGGGTGCATGGGTGTCGTAAAGGTTAATTAAGATGTAATTGTTTCCACTTTTAGGTCTATAAGTCTTCAGAGTATACAGCAGACCAGTCAGCATTCTGAGCAGATTCTGAACAGACGTTTAATATCAACCCTACTAAAATTTCGTAGCATCTGTACCTTGCCTCGAAGCTTAAGAGTGCGTATTTTATACGATAGGAAGATGAGATCTTGATGAGAGAATTCCATGGCTTCATATTGACCATGCTTTGACACGTGATCAGGAGATGATACTATGATAAGATCTAAGAATAGAATAGAATAGAATAGAATAATTTTTTATTCAATATCGATTATTATATAATTCTTATTGAAAGTCATTTTTTATCTACCACTGGTTCGGAAAATACCTCTGTCCTGGGAAGAACCAGCAAGAAACTCAGCGGGACTTTTTTATTCAAACATAATTTCGTTTACACAATTTTCAAATAATTTTTCATAGAACCAGCATGGTGGCGGTCACCTTATATTCCCAGGGGTTATTTTCATTCATGTATTCCTTGATATTATAATAACCCTTTTTGTACAGTTTTTCATTGATAAAACTTTTAAACTTGTTTATTGACTAACTTTGAATATGTTCTGGGATTTTGTTGTAAAAGCGTATACATTGCCCCATAAATGAATTACTGATTTTGTGGAATCTAGTAACTGATATTACAAGCTTATGTTTGTTTCTAGTGTTTAAAATATGCACATCCTTATTCTTATCAAAGCTTTTTATGTTTTTAAGTACATGCATTACATTTTCATAAATATATTGCGATGCCAAAATTAATATGTTAATTTCTTCAATTTTTTCTCTGAGAGACTCTTTACAATTTAGGTTATAAATCGCCAGTACGGCTCTCTTTTGCAAAACAAATATAGCTTAAATATCAGTCGCATTATCCCATAGCAAAATTCCATAAGACATTACGCTATGAAAGTAACTAAAATACACTAATCTAGCTGTCTCAACATCTGTGAGACTTCTAATCTTTCTTACAGCATATGCTGCAGAACTAAGTCTGCTTGCTAATTTAGATATATGGGGGCCCCATTGAAGTTTCGCGTCAATAGTAATACCTAGAAAAACAGTGGTATCCACAAGACTCAACTCCTCCCCATTTGACAGCACATTGGTATTCGAATGTTTTACATTAAGTATTGTAAATTTAATACACTTTGTCTTATTGCCGTTTAAGAGCGTATTGTTGGCATTAAACCAATGTACTAATTTCGATAGAGCATTATTTACATCGTTATAATTAATTAATTGCCGTTTGAGTTTGAAAATTAAAGACGTATCGTCAGCAAAAAATACTATATCGTGATTGTCCCCTACAAGATAAGGTAAGTAATTAATATAGATTAAAAACAGGAATGGGCCAAGAATCGAGCCCTGAGGAACGCCCATTGATACTACCGATCGGAGGAACCTTTACCATTGATCACGACTTTTTGAGTTCTGTTACTTAAATATGAAGTATAATAAGTCTAAGCGCCAAATTTTTTTAAACAAACAATTTTTTTAACAAAGATGAAATAAAGTCTATAGTGTATATATAGTGGCAGAATATGTAAATTACAGGAGTCAGTAATAGAGCGCAGCCTTTTAGTGCGGTGATCATTCTTTAACATGCAAGTGTTAAAATCGCCCATTAGAATAATGTGATATATATATATATATATATATATATATATATATAGTGATATAAAATAATAATAATAACAAGATATTATATAAGTATAAATACTTTGAATAAATAAGAAATAAACTAAATCTCCTCTACCAACCAGCGTTACTAGAAGATCGCAAATCGCAACTAAACAATCAATAGATGTTATATTTCAAACGTGCACAACATTTACAGCAAAACTTAGTAAAAACATATTACAATAATATTACAAACATAAAGAAAATAAGTAACAGAATTTTTTAAAAGTAAACAAATTAAATTTATTGAACTCTTCTACCCCGAAAATAACTTAATGTAAAACTTAATATGGATTGGCTGTATGATCATCAACCTTTGCATATCTGACATCAACAAGATTTATTTTGACAGATATAAATCAATGTCAAAATAGAGTAATTTTACCCTTTATATTTTTATCAAACAATTGAAATAATTTTACCTTCTGAACAGAAAAGTGCAATTAGTAATAATTTTAAAGTACCAGTAATACAGTAAACACACATATACTGAGCAATAATACAGCTGAAAGTACCTATGCTAATAGATAAAAAACTAACGATTACAGTATACAAAGAGAGATATCTTTATTTAGCTATCGTATGAGCTTTAGTAATAAATATAATAAACTAGTCTAACAATACTAAAGTACTTAGCTTTATTATGAAGTATAATAAAGAGAACAAGGGTAATAATTTTGATGTGTCAGTACAACATAGTAAACGCAGTCATATGCTGAAGTAATAATACAAATTCTGTGAGGACAAAAACATACTACAACTCTATAAAACTTCTTTCGTATTAATATTTGCTCGTGCACTAAGCACACACGTGATTTAATTTTGCCTACGGCAGTATTTAATTGTCTAACACCATAGGTACGCAAACAACTCTCGGGCAGCTTAAGTATTATACGATTTACTCAAATTAGCGAAATTATCTGTAAAGTTGACTCATGTAGTATGTTTGACATTTGTATATTAATAAGCTGAGATGAGCCAAGATGCCGATATCTGTAACTAACTATTTAGGCCTAAGACCATTGAGAAATGTATCATGTACAAACGTACATTGTACTACAAGTATATTAGACTATGCTGGAAATCACTTTAAATGTCGAAATTTGAAAATCATTTTAATTAAACGCAATTAAATGCTTAAATACCTATATATTTTTATTCAAAAATTAGTTTAAGTATATATTCTGGGAAATAAGTACATTAATGTGCATAGAAAAAACACATATTTGATTCATTATATGAAATAATAATATAAATAAAGATTTGTTTGTTTTTATTTGCGTCTTTTGAACTCAAATTTCTATTTAAGTAGGTTATTGTTTATAGAATAAGGGTCACAAATGAACACACAGTCCACATGGTGCTCAGTGGATGCTGAAGCCCATAGACATCAATCCTGGATTAAGAATTAAAATGCAGATGCATTGTCACCCGTGGGGACAGCCTTGAAAGCCCTTTGTAACCCTTTTCACATTTATGATTTTGGTGGGATTAACGTTACAAGGTTAACCAATAACCAGTATCATATGTGACCCTATCCGATAATACAACGGGCCATACAATATCAAATGGAGATGTTCAACACGTCGGCAATCTTTACACACACTTATTTAAATATTTGTGAAACGTGTAGGAACCTTGTCTGCAAATTTATTTCGCATATTTACATAAATTTCCACAGCATTGTGGATATTTATTTCTCCAAATCTGTACAATGTCTAGGTACTGAACTTTAATAAATAACAAATATTTGTACATATATGTGCACATGTGAGAAACAACCCAAAGCGTAAACTACAAATATTGGAAGTAGCACAGGCATTGGCGAGGCACCAGTCAACCGGTTTGTGGCACGGTGAATGGTTCTGTTGTATTGAATTACGTGTGAGCAAGTTCAATAAATTATGGAGTGGACAAGTGATCATACTTTAGAATTTATAAGATTAATAAAAAGAGAACCGATCCTTTGGAATCCAAACATTACAAATTGCAAGAGCCGAAATTTAGCAATTGATGCATGGACACGGGTTAAGAATGAATTCTCTCTCCCAATGACCGTTAAGGAGTTAAAGAAAAAAAAGAATTGTCTGTTTACGCAGTATCGATTCTACATGAAAAGAATAAAAGGTACATCCAAATGTAGAACCGAAGCAAATGAAATATATCAACCTTCATGGTTTGCTTTTAATTTAATGAATAGCTTTCTATGCGATGTTTATGACATTCAATCCACGTTGAACCATGAGGTAAGAAAATTTTACATTTTAATCTATTTTTAAATTTATAAAAAGAGTTAAAAATGAGAAAAGGGTTTCAGTTCATTATCATCAACAATTTTGATTCCTTAATTAACCACTCAACCGTCCGCCCCATGCGACTGATTCTCGCTTGACCTGTCCACGAATTAAATGTTACAATTTTTTACTACCGGGCAAGACAGTCTAAACCGATTCCTTGCGGCACCAATTTTCGACAACTTTTAGCTGTGGCGGCGAAGAAATATTTCACGCGCCACAGAAGTTGATGACACGCCTATTGTGCCATTAGCCATGTGTATAAATAATTACCTTTTTTATGCTTTTTTCACTTGTTTAGACCTAATTAAGTTTATTTGACATCAAACATAAGTTACAAATGGAAGGATACTTGTTTTTAGTGGGTAACAACGTGCTTTTTTACGCGTTTTCTGTGAAATTGAGAGAAAGTGACTTTTTTATGAAGAGATTACAAACCTTTTGTACTATTTTTTGTTGTTATAAAAATCATTTATATAAGTAGGTACAGCTAAATCACCCTGGAAACCTTGGTTTTATTAAATTAAATTTCCACCTAATAATAACATTTGTAAATATCAAACAATGAAGAACCTTAATTTGAAAAAAAAAGGTATATCATTCATTGATATTTACAAATGTTAAATATTATTTAATGTTATACAAATGTAAAAGTAAAGTCGATCTGAAAACGTCTAATTAGTAAGAATAGCAAAACAAGTGTTTTCAAAAGGAAAAAAACGCCGGCGCTATACGGCGGCGGATTGACTAAAGACTATTTATTAGCGAACTTTTTTATGCTTGAATGGTTTCGAACGGTTTCAAGCAAAACTAAACCTTATACCATATCACAAGAGCACATGGTACTTCGTAGGTCTATTCGGCCATATGATAGTAATAAGATGGCAATTCAACTATTTCAAACAAAATTAAACAATAAGACAAACTCATTGTTTTTTTTAACAGGAGACTTGTTTTCCAGAAATTTATTTACAACTTGAGTTTGTCAGCGATCGCAATGAGTGCTATTAGTTGTTCCTTATTAGACTATTTTTCCACAATATGATTGAAAACCCACAAAGTAGTAAGAGTACCATGTACAAGTTAAAATAAGGTTGTTAACCCCTAAAAATTTCAAATTTTCAAAATATCCAGAAACGAAGCCGCAGGCATGAACTACTTGCAAAATAATGAATATTTTCTTCTGGATAAATTTTCCAAAAACGCAATTTGGGCGAGTTATAACGATTTTTAAAAAGACACACCTCGTGTGTCGTACGCCACACACAAAAGTAATCGATGGCACGCCGGGCGTGCCATCCGCACTGAACGGTTAACAAAAACGATTACTACTGTAAAACTACTGTACCTACATTCAAATAAGAAATATTCTCAAAAGACTCAAAGAATTCAAAATTTTATTTTGTTAAAAGAAAATTAGTCAAATTAAAAATAAAGCCTGAAAATAAAGCTTAAAAATGGGAAAATCAAAAAAAAATCGTATTTATTTTTTATTTCGAGTTTTACAAGAAGTGTAATATTTACTGGAGACAATTATTTTATATTATAATAGTACATAATATTCCCTTTAAAATGACACCAATATCAATAACATCTTATATACTCAATATACATAAGTATGTAATGTTAACCCAATATAAATTTGAATAAATAAGTAAATAAATGAAAAAATAGGTTTTAATAATTTCTAGACACACCTCAACAGATATTTCGTTTATAAATTGCTATCAACGTGTTAATAGTAGTGTCCGACCAAAACAGGATTGTCAACCGAAACCGAAACCGAAACCGAAAACGAACCTTCGGTCTGGGTGTCAGTTTCGGCCGAAACCGAAACGGAAACCGAAACTTATTTAGACATGTTAATTTTATTTATTGTATACTGAAATCTGGTATAGTTTTTATGCATGTTAATGACAAACAGTTATTGTAATAGTCATGTAGCAATATATTTATTTATTTTAAAGTAAAAATCGACAATTTAACGTAAAGAAATACTTTTTAAGTCAATTTTGTAGAAAAATCAACGTAAGTACCCATATAAAGTTACTCGCTAATTGAGAACATATTTTATTGTGTTCACAATATTGTTAATAGTATTCAATGAGAGCATTAACATAATATATCACACTCACACACTTACACAATATACACACAACTTAACAAAATCTCAAAAAATATACAAAACCTGCTCAAAGTTCAAAAACTCTAATAAACTAAGTTTGTATAAAAAGGGTTATATAATATTTAGGAATTCATGGATGATAATAACCCCTGGGCATGAGGTGATCACTACCAAGCTATTTCTAATTTGTTTTGTATTTTATTTATTTTGTTACATATATGATTACGAGGCCCCCTAAAATGCGATGACCCCAGACTTTACCCCAGATGACTTATTAATTTGATCACTTTTACGCTCGAAAAAGAAAGTTACTTTTAATGCGTTTGTTTGTGTTTGTTTAGGGCCTCGCAGGAAGCCCCTCTTAAATGCGATTGCGAGGCCGTTGTTACTACCTTCAAAGAACGCGATTGTAACATTGACGGAATACGAAACTTGTGAGGAATTAATATATACGTGGTAGAGCCATGCTGCAGCTATATTATGGTTGTAGCACGAATGGGTCAGCTCGAACGGGGAAGGACCACGCTCTCTCAGAAAACCAGCGTAAAATAGCAACTTAACGCTGCTGTGTTTCGTATGGTGAGTGTAGAGTACCGGAGACCCTTTTTACTGGCAAAGAGGCATTCCATCTTAGTCCTCACAGTAACCACTTACCATCAGGTGGACTGTGTGCTCGTTTGTCACCCGATCCTATATATATATATATATATATATATATATATATATATATATATATATATATATATATATATATATATATATAGAGTAGGTACGTAGGATAGATAGATCTATTGGGTAGACCCTTGGAAAGAAAATCCACGCTACGCCTCTGATTGTAAGCTGTTATTTAAAAAAAAGTCCTGCTGGGTCCTGAAGAACCAGCAAGAAGCTGGTTCTTCAGGACAGAAGTTTTTTCGAACCAGTGGTTATGAAACAAAAAAGAGTGACTTTCAATAAGTATTATTTATAATCTATATAGAATTATATAAGCTCCGGCTTTCGACAAAGTACGGGCGATAGATATAAAGCAAGTTTGCGAAGAAATTGCTCCGGCTATTGCAAAATTGGTCAATGCTTGTATAAAAATTAATAAATATCCAGACGAATCGTGGAAAACTCGTCGAAAACTGGAATCGTGAGACCTATATACTAAAAGGGAAGTAAACAGGACTACGATAATTACCGTCCCATAACTATATTGCCTATAATAGACAAGATTATAGAAAAATACATAGCAAGACAAATTTATAACTTTTATGGTCTGAATAATATTCTAAATGACACACAGTTTGGATTTCAACACAAAAAAGCACTACTCAATTACTTTCCCTATTTACCGATAACATATATGAAAATCTTAATGAAAAAAAAAACATGTATTGCTGTTACTTATCGACTATAGTAGGGCGTTCGATACTTTACGTCATGATGTACTGCTAGAGCGACTAGACGACTGTGGAATTAGAGGGCCAATTCTTGACTGGTGTCGAGATTATCTCAAAAATCATTCCTATTATGTCAAAGTAGGGGATACATTAAGTAATAAAGTTTTGGTAAGGTACAGCACAGGGTTCAGTATTAGGGCCGCTATACTACATCACTTCCGTGAATAATATCAATAAATTGATTAAAATACTCAAAAATTTTCCAATTTGCCGACGATACATGTCTGGTGGTAGCCCACCACAATATGAATAAGGCGGTAAAACTGTTACAAGAAGACTTTACGAAGCTCATGCAGTGGTCACATGACGCAGGTCTAGTACATAATTCGAATAAAACTAAAATGATGTACGTTAGCTCCAGTCAAAATAGATTAAAACATAACATTACTCTTATAGCTCATAATCACACATGTCTTCATAATATCCAAAATTCAGCCCATAATAACAACTGTGAATGTCCCCAAATTGAAATAGTAGAAAAATGTAGGTATTTAGGTTTAATAATTGATGATCGTATGAAATGGACTGATCACATTGAATCTGTATGCGATAAGCTACGAGCAATCCTTGCAAAATTTTATCTCATCAAGAGTAAAGTACCTTACCAGATGTTACTGTTACTATATAATGCACTCGGCGAATCAATAGTCTCGTACGGGTTGAGCAGTTACGGACGCACTTATAAAACCCACATTGAAAAAATATACGAGCTACAGTTGCGCATCCTTAAATGTATCACCCCTCTTAAAATAAAAGATAAATATAAAAAAATCCTTATGGTCTTTTCCATCATTGCAAAATACTACCAGTACACGACAAAGTGAAATACCTATTGCTACTTGAAAATTATGGCAAGGAAGAATTAAAAATTTGCCGTATTTATACAAAACTTACTCGACTTATTATCCCAAAATACAAAAATATGTACGGAAAATTTAGATTACAGTATCAAATTCCCGCTCTTTTGAACCAAATTCCCAAACCAATAAAAATGAACTTACTGAAAAAAAAATTAAATATATGCTTAAACAGTAGGTATTTTATGGACAAACTGTTAACGATACCTAATAATAACTTAAACTAAAATATAAAACTATATCCACTAACACACAGCATAATATAATATACATAAATAAAAAAAAAACTAATAAATACGAGTATATACATTTACTAATTTACTAATTTTCATTTAATACTAACCATATTTTGCTTTTCTTGCTATTTTGTCACACCATTTATACGAGGACTGCACTAAAAGTATCGGGAATAGAATATTTCCACTGTTCCTGTCATATTAAAATCCTTTTAATTGAAAAGTCCTTGGTTTTAAAAATCGAATACCATTTATTTATTTAAAAAAAGATTCTCGGTCTTGCCACAAGGTTTTATCAAACTTGTTTAGTCGTTGAAAAAATGGAATTGACTCGAGAAAATTCAAGAGCGATGATTTATTATGACTTTCGAAGTGGTTTAACACAAAAACAGTGTGTTGACCGGATGATTTCTGCATTTGGTGATGAAGCCCCATCCAAAACCACAATTTATCGCTGGTTTGCTGAATTTCAACGTGGACGTGTCAAGCTCAGTGATGATCCCCGTCAAGGTCGTCTAAAAACTGCAGTCACCCAAGAAAACGTTGATGCTGTGCGTAAGCTGATTGAGGAAGATCGACATGTGACATACCGCGAAATTCAGGCAACTTTAGACATTGGCATGAGTCAAATACAAATAATCTTGCATGAACAATTAGGTGTAAAAAAGTTGTTTTCCCGATGGATACCGCATTCGCTCTGTGAAGAGCAAAAAGCGGCTCGCGTTACTTGGTGCGTCAGAACTCTCGAAAGATTCCACGCAGGATCCTCAAATGCTGTATACAACATCGTATCAGGTGACGAATCCTGGATATACGCGTACGAACCCGAAACAAAAAACCAGTCACGAGTTTGGGTGTTCAAAAATGAGTTGAGCCAACAAAAATTGTTCGTTCACGGAGTGTTGCAAAAAATCAGGTGGCCACGTTTGTCTCCAAAACCGGCCATGTTACGACTATTCCTCTTGAGGGACAAAGAACGGTTAATGCAGAATGGTATGCTAGCATTTGTTTGCCACAGGTCGTTTCTGAACTCCGTAAAAAGAACTGCAACCGCCGCATCATCCTCCATCACGACAATGCGAGTTCTCACACCGCACACAGAACAAAAACGTTTTTAGAGCAAGAAAACGTAGAATTATTAGACCATCCGCCGTACAGCCCCGACCTAAGCCCTAATGATTTCCATACTTTCCCTAAAATAAAGAATAAATTGCGTGGACAGAGATTTTCATCACATGAAGAAGCTGTGGACGCCTACAAAACGGCCATTTTGGAGACCCCAACTTCCGAATGGAATGGTTGCTTCAATGATTGGTTCCATCGTATGGAAAAATGTGTCAAATTTCGCGGAGAATACTTCGAAAAGCAATAAATACATTTTTAAATAGTAATGTTGTGTCACTTCTTTGATTCCCGAAATTTTCAGTGCCGCCCTCGTATACGTCATTAAATAAGTTGTCGCAACGCGAACCGATTGAACATGATTGAAGTTGCGAATTGGCGGTACATGGAAAAACTTTTGTAAGTTTATTTGTACTGTTGGATGTTATTAAATAACTATACTTTGTAATAAATAAATAAATAAAAATAAAATAATTAAAAAGTTTCTGTTTCTGTATAATTATGAATAATACACGAGTCACGAACTCATCCGAAAGACGCGTGATAATCCACGAACACTGAGTTTCGGTGCCGCCGAAGGTTCGGGAGATTTTTTGCCGAAACCGAAACTAGATTTTTTTGCCGAAACCGAACCTTCGGTCGGTCACTAGTTAATCGTGAATCATTATTTTATATTTTGCATTCATTTAACACTAAAAAACTGATTAGAATACATTTTAAACAACATATAATCAATAAACGACGATTGCGTATAGTGATTAATATTTAGAGCTAAATTATCATATGTAAACGTTTTGGAATTTTCGTAATGATACATATTTACTAAAGAAAATATCTTCACAATTAGTTTGATGTACGATAACATTAGAAATAACGTATAAAAACAGAAAAGTTATCACATTTTTTATAGAATTTCTCACACGTTAACATTCCACAAACAAAAATGGCGAAATTTAATTTTAACTTTTTTTTCCTAAATATTTTGTTACTATCATACAGATAAAATTCACTTTCACAGACGACAAATTTCATATAGCACCATCTATAACTTTATTAATAACAGCTATCTTTTGCACTGTACGCGTTTAAACCGAAAGATGTCGTTTGGTGCCTAAACAGGTGAGGTAATAATGGTTTTTGGGGACTGTAGTCACCGTAGAGGGTTGAGTGGTTATGGGTCATACAGCTATTGACATCTATTGAGGAAACACAGAACTACGAGTACACAAATATTGAGGAAAACTACTCTTAAAGAAATTCTCACATACTGACAGTTATAGAATGATAGCGACTTTTGAATTGGCTTATACTCGTATTAGTTAGGTACATTTTCAAGTATGATATCTTTATTATATTAATTTTTTGTATTAATGCAGAAGCGAGGTAAGAATATCGACTTCCGCATGTCGCCCCTTGGATGTCGTGAGAGGAAAACAGACAAGGAGGACAGCAGCGTCTTTTTAATAAATATCAATATTTTTTAAAGAAAACTGAGTTAGCCAAATCGCTTGCCAAGCGTGACAACTATGGCAAGTTTCCCTCTATGAGGCAATCTATGACGGAGGCCTATGTTCAGCAGTAGAACTTTGACTGGTTGGGAAGGGTTACGGTAACAATATATAATAATAATCTATAAAAAAAAAATAAGTATTCACTCGACAATCGCTGTTGCTTTAGGCTAATCGTGCGCACAATCACTTCCACACTTTTATATTTCTAGAAGTAAAAAGCTGAAATCCTGCTTTACATTTTTCTGCTTTAATTTTATTTATTTAATTCAGAAACATGTATATAAAAAAAAATGTAAAATTACTTTTCTTAAGAAACCTAATACTTTTTATCTTGTAAACATATTATAATATTTAGGTAAAATATACTAACTCTGCAATTTTCTGTAAATCCAATTATAATTATATTTATCTCATATTATCTCATGGGAAGATTACATTATGTCGTCAAATAGATGACAGTATAAGCCTTTAATATTTAATTGATGTAAAATAATAATAATGTAATGTAAACCTTTAATACTTAATTGATGTAAAATACCTACCGAGTATAGCAATGAATACCTATTCACTTGTCTATTTTCAAGACAGAGAGAGACAGACAGAGACAAGAGAGGCAGCGTCAGTATTATGAGATGCATGACATGATTGCCAATAAGTCTAAGTAGATGAAATATTCCTTTGTTTTTAAACTTGTATTGTAAATAATCGCCTTTTAGTGATGTCGTAAGATTCGAAAGAGCAAAGGTGACAGAGGAGGTGGACAGTAGCAATGTCCTGATAAATACTCAAAGTAATAAAAAAACTGCTGTTGCCAACCCGCCTGCCAAGCGTGGCAGCTATTTCAAATATTTCCCCTATGAGGCAGTCAATGGGAAACCTTATGATCAGCAGTGAACTCTGATACGCTGTAATAATGATGATGATGATGATTATTTACAATATAACCATTTCACAATTAGTATTAGGTATATTAACTGTAGTCCGCGACTTCTCTTGTTCCGTCACAAATTTCACCTTGAAGACAACAATACTATTGTGCGTTTGTTTCAGGAACTGAATGATTTCGAAACCAAGAGGTCTTTATCCTGCGAGTCTAATATTGAAAATACAAAATATTCATCATCCAGTGAAGTATTTATAAATCGACCACTATCACGAAATTCAAGCACAAGTAGCACTGACGGTTTTTTAAATACCTCAAGAAAACGGCGTCGTCCAAACGTAGTTACTGTGAAGCAGCAAACGAAACCAGCATTTCCTATAACAAAAGAGAAATCTGTACATAAAGAATTTAAAAAAGAAGATGATGAATGTGACCTTTATTTACAGCTCCTAGCACGAAAACTAAAGAAATTGGACGAAGACAATCGATTAAAGCTAATGAATGATATAGATAATTTAACGTTCAAATATTTAATGGCAGATAGAGCACAGAATTGTATAGAGTTGTCTACATCTTTACCAACAACGTTGACTTTACAAACGAACTCAAATAATCAAGTGCTTTCGTCATCTTTAGATCCTCTTCAACTTGAGATGCTCCCTCCAGAAGTAGTCACAACACATTGCGAAAACAAATAAAATCAGATAATCAGAGATAGTTTACTTAATGTACTTCTAATTATACTTTATTAACACAGTGATGTTAGTAAGTAATATAAACAAATTCGCATGCTCGTGTATTATGAATTTTAATAGTGTGCTATCCTTTGCTTATCAAGGATCCAATATTTAAGTGACATATATAAAGGTAATAAAACAAATAAATATCTTTATTTTTAAACTGATTTTGAACAAAGCTTAGCTAAGCTAAACTCCTCTAGACCAAATCCCGGTCACGGCGGCCTATCTAAACGGAGACTAGCCACTAATATATATATTAATTATTATTATTATTAACACGTAGTACCGGTTATTTTTTTAATAACACGTAGTAGAGCTTAAAGCCATGTTGCAGTTAGTAGTATAGCAGCATATTAGTAGTACCTATAGTTGTAGCAAGAATGGTTCGGCTCGAACGGGGAAGGACGACGCTCTCACAGAATACCTGCGTAAAATAGCAGCTTAACACTGCTGTGTTTCGTATGGTGAATAAAGGAATAGAGAGTGGACCTGTAATTGCATTATAATTAATATATGGTACTTTTATACGTGGTAGAGCCATGCTGCAGCTATATTGTAGTATAGTTGTAGTACGAATGGGCCGGCTCGACCGGGGAAGGACCACGCTCTCACAGAATACCAGCGTAAAATGACAGCTTAACACTGCTGTTTTGCGTATTTTTTTTATAGGATAGGGTGACAAACTAGCACACAGTCCACCTGATGGTAAGTGGTTCCTGCGGCCCATAGACATCTTCATTTATCCTCGATTATGAATCAAATGCAGATGCGTTGTCACCCGTGAGGACTAAGATGGAATGCCTCGTTTCCAGTAAAAAGGGTATCCGGTTCTCTACACTCACCATACGAAACACAGCAGCATTAAGCTGCTATTTTACGAGTACTCTGGTATTCTGTGAGAGCGTGGTCCTTCCCCGGTCGTGCCGACCCATTCGTATTACAACTATACCAGGAATATAGCTGCAGCATGGCTCTACCACGTAAAATATGGTGTATGGTGATTGTAGAGAACCGGAGACCATTTTTATTGGTAAAGAGGCATTCCATCTTACTCCTCAGGGGTGACAACGCATCTGCATTTTGATTCTTTATTGAGGATAGATGTGGATGTCTATGTGTCACAGCAACCGCTTACCATCAGGTGGACTGTGTGCTAGTTTGTCACCCTATCCTATATAAAAAAATTGCAGAGAAGTCGAGTCGATTTCGTCCTTTATATCTTTTAAATTCAAAATGCGTGGTAATGTATTATTTTAACTGATTTTACTGCGCACGCACACATTCGTAAGGGTCGATCGGTAGGCAAAAACCTTGTAATATAAATATATATTATGTTCATCTATAAATCATATTCAATTTGGGATAATTTCAAATAAAAGTAGAAGCCTTATTTACTCGTATTTACAAAAACTGATCTGATTTCATAAAAGATCTGTCGCAGGATCAGCCAGATTTACATGCTTTCCGAGAAGGGTGAAACACCACAAAGTTTCTGATTCCGGACTACTACTGAGAATTCCTTGACAAAAAACCCTAAACTACTAAAAAAATGTAGGACTTTAAAAACGTGTTACGGAGTACCAAGAACTGTATTAGTACATTGGGATTATTATTCACCAGTAGAACACCTGCTTAATGCTGCTGTGTTTCGTATGGTGAGTGTAGAGAATCGGAGACTTTTTTACTGCAAAAGAGGCATTCTATCTTAGTCCTCACGGCTGATCTGCTGATCTGCATTTTGATTCGCAAACGAGGATAGATGTAGATGTCTATGGGCCTCAGCAGCCGCTTACATTCCAGGTGGAAAGTGTGCTCGTTTATCACCCTATTTCTTAAAAATAACTAACTTATTAGACGTTTTGCAAATAGCGTATTTTACCTTCTGCTGAGTAAATATCAACGCGGTTGCTGCAAATATAAAACTTATAAACATTATAATAATAAGTCTTAATATAATGATACACCAGAACGTGAAACTTCTCACGTTGTTGCGTATAATACATTGCAACATGAATGAGAGAAACAAGACTAGGGATGATCTAACTAACCATCGGATGGAATACTAGCGTAAAATAAGAGCCTATCTTGCAGTACTTCGTACGTAAAGTAAGGGAAACCGGAGAGCCTATTTGCTGAAAACGTGGCATTCCATCTTATTTTGCCGCAAGAGATAATGCAACGAATTTTAACTTATTATTGAACTTAGGTATACATAGGTATCAGTACCCAGTCACTATCAGGTAAAATGAGTGCTGTGCTTTTATAATATATAAAAATAACGTAAAACCAGCGGATTGGCGTGTGTAGAACCGACTACCTCGATCTAGTTTTGTCTTCCCAATCACTAGTGTATTGAATTTGGGTCCAGCTATTGGATAGCTTTTCTGGTATAAGTCTCGCCAGAACCTCGTCCGACACTCAGTAAGGTGCAAAGTATACAGGTGAGGTTGGCAATAATTTCATCAGCATTTTTACACTACAGCCTAGCGGCTCAGTAGCGTAGTGACTTATCGTTTGGTTGCGGCGCTGCAAGAGTGAATAGGCTTTTGTTAAGCTAAGGCAGTACGTGATACCGATACCATCATTGGCTGCATCACCATTTTTCATCAGACTGTATAGTAGTCAAGCTCTGGATATTATAGTTACAAAAATATGCCGATACGATTTGAACATGCAGTATAAGGATTTCTTTTGCTCCAGTTTATGGTACCTATATAAAATCTCGTAATATATTATGTGAAATTTTGTGACAGATTCACGCAACATAAAAGAGGACAGATCGCGCAATATACTCACATTCGACTTTTCCATTAGTTTTATGAAGAAAGAAAGAAATTTATTTTTATAACTTTAAACTTATTTATTACCTACTAGTATCAGAATATTACCTGTTTTTATCAGGGGTAGTTTAAAAGTTAATAATATGCGAAGGAAGAAACGAAAATAATGTTGCATATGAATGTGGTTTGGTATAAGAAGAGTTTATTCCTTTTAGCCAATAAATTCACTATTATCATGCATCTCTCTGTTTTAGAAAACAGTTGCCGTAATCGCCCCTTTGGCAGACGGATTGGCAAGTTTTGGCAATCGTAGTTTCGGATGTCACGCACCTTTGAATCAGCTCCCCGTCGCCGATTTGGCCATACATCTAGCATATCGAGTACATCGCCATCTATTGTAGAGATCATTTTACGTGGTAGAGCCACGCTGCAGCTGTATTATAGTTGGACCACGCTCACACACAATACTAGCGTAAAAAAGCAGCTTGGTGCTGCTGTGTTTCGTATAGTGATATAGGGCACCAGGCGGTGCGGTGGTGGTGGTGGTGGTGCGGGGGTGACCCTTTTTACTGGAAACGAGGCATGTCATCGTAGTCCTAAGGAGTGATAACACATCTAGAAGGTGCCACTCATAGACAATAGACATATACATCTATTATCAGTTAAAAACCAAAATGTAGATGTGTTGTCACCTCTGAATGCCTCGTTACTAGTTCTTAGAATCTCCGGTTTTCTGCACTCACACCATTTCACGCCAGTATTCTGTGAGAGCGTGCTCCCCTACACCGGTAGAGCCAACCCATGCAACTATGGCAAAATTTTCTCTATGAGGCAATCTATGTGGGAGGCCTATGTTCAACAGTGGACTTTTATAAGCTGTAATGGCTGAATGAATGGATGGATGCATATACATACGACAAATTCTCAGAGATTAATGCCCTCTAGACCGAATTTCAGTCACGCCAGCCAATTTCAATAGAGACTAGCACAAGACATGTTTCAGGTATGATTTCGAACTCCGCTGCACGCAGCAGTACTGCCGCAACAGTGCTGCCGCAACACTACTGGTCCACACATATTCTCTATAGTTTTATATGAGATTACATTCCGAGTTCCACAGCAATGCCGCGGCAGCAATGCAGCGGTAGCACTGCTGCAAGGCTGTGTCGTCCTGCCACCGCAACAGACCAGTAGTGACGCGTCCGCTGCAGCGATAGTACCTATGAGAATATTGACAAGTAAATTTGCCAAAAAAAGATTAAGTTCTCTGATTCAGAAGAGGAACAATTAATTAACGTTGTGACTTTATATCCAGCCCTTTACGATAGCAGTGATACTAATTATAGTAATAATTTAATTAAAGACAATATATGGAAAGATATATCGAAGGAGATTAATAAAACAAGTTCTTCCTCTTCCAACAATATAGATAAAAGTTGGTGGTTGGTCAACTCAAAGCAACTGAATGAATACACAATAGCGCAACACCACAAACAGGGCAACACTGCCGTCTTTCTCGGAATCAGCACGGTAGGCAGCACTGCTGCGCAGCACCACATTAGCAGCACTGATGCGTGCTGTCGAGATCGGAATCATGCCTTTAAGGTGCACGAGTGATGCGGAAACGTATTCGCACTCTTTACGTCCTTGCTCTCATTGGACGGCAATTCGATATTGCTATCCGATACGGAGTGAAACACTGCTACGGCTCTGAACCTGGGACCACACAACCAACAGACACACCAGATGATCATATATTTTTAACCGAGTAATATTAAATTCGATGTTTCGTTGCGCGTATGTTTTCAATACATATTTTGCATGTATTGAAAACATACGCGAGGAAGCATCATGTTTTCAATACAATATTTTTCAGAAACGGTGGAACCGATTTTAAAGATTCTTCTTTAATTAAATATTACAATTCAGTTTTCTACGTGGTAGAGCCATGCTGCAGCTATATTAGTAGTATAGTTGTAGCACGAATGGGTCGGCTCGACCGGGGAAAGACCACGCTATCACAGAATACCAGCGTAAAATAGCAGCTTGACACTGCTGTGTTTCGTATGGTGAGTGTAGAGAACCGGAGACCCATTTTACTGGAAACGAGGCATCACATCTTAGTCCTCACGGGTGACGACGCATCTGCATTTTGATTCCTTATTGAGGATAAATGTAGATGTCTATGGGCCGCAGCAACCATTTACCATCAGGTGGACTGTGTGCTCGTTTGTCACCCAATACTATAAAAAAGTGGTCTCCTATAAATTAAGAATAATTAAGGGTGGCAAAAAAGGATGAAGTATTAATATCTAGTTACATGGTAAACTGGAGTGGTAGAGTGGCCAGCTCGACCGGAGTAGGACCACGCTCTCACAGAATATATATATATATATATATATATATATATATATATATATATATAAATTCTGTGAGAGCGTGGTATATATATAATAGCAGCTTAATGCAGCTGTGTTTCGCATGTTGAGTTTAGAGAACCGGAGACCCTTTTTACTGGCAACCAGGCATTTCACCTTAGTCCTCATTGGTGACAACGCATCTCCATTTTGATGCTAAATCGAGGATAAATGTGGATGTCCATGAGCTATAGCATCCACTTACCATCAGGTGGACTGTGTCCTGATTTCTCACTCTTATTCAATAAAAAATCTGAAAAACGGTTGACCCTGCAGGCCATCCCTGGAACTTCCCAGATATTTTCGAAGCAGAAAGGGAAATGATTAATTTTCAAAGCGGGAATTTAAAAATTAACTTATGAAATCGGTGCTATGATATAGTGTTACTTCCCGCTTTGAAAATTAATAATTTTCAAAAGCACCTACCTACTGTGGAAGTTGTATATTTCGGTCCGATTTCGTTAACTATTAATCTTAATTATTAATAAGCTGCTTATTATAAAAACCTTTATGTAACTTAAAGGAGCAACATTAACTAACAAAGCTTTTATAACTTCAGTTCAGAGATGGCCGACTTTCATCGCTCGCTGACTGTGTTCAGGCGATAGCCTTTGTGTGGTGCCATTGTAAACTTAATCGTCTTATCTATACAAATAAAGAAAATTGAAGTGTCTGATGTCAAAATTACAGCTTTTTACTAAATGCATATGAAAGTATATGCCGTACTAATGACAAAAATACAATTTTTAAAGTTTTTGTCTGTCTTTCTGTCCGTCTGTTTGTCTGTTTGTTCCGGCAAATCTCCGAAACGGCTGGACCGATTTTGACGGGATTTTCACTGGCAGATAGCTGATGTCACAAGGAGTAACTTAGGCTACTTTTATCTCAGAAAAAGAATTAGGGTTCCGGGCAAAAAAATTAAAACCCCAAAAACACGCGGGCGAAGTTGCGTTGAACAGCTAGTATTTGATAAAACAAGACTGTGTAAGTAAGTATACGTAGTAGAACCGGTTTACCGCGTATTATGACTGTGGCATGAATGGGTCGGCTCGGTCGGGGATGAATCACACTCGCGCAGAATAACATAGCAGCGTAATACTTTTTATTTTGCTTTTTTTTATAGAATGGGAGTGGCAAATGAGCACATAGTGCAGCTGAAGGTAAGTGGATGCTGTGGCCCATAGAAATTTACATTTATCTTCGATTAAGTATCAAAATGCAGGTGCGTTTTTTAAACTCGCCGAGTACCGGAACAAACTTGTGTCTGAAGTCGAGTCTTTGCTGAACAAAGTCTCGGATTGGGGGCGACTAAATCTAGTCCAGTTTAATCCTCAGAAGACACAAGTTTGCGCGTTTACCGCTAAAAAGAACCCCTTTGTCGTATCTCCTCAGTTTCAAGGCACTGCCCTTCTTGCCTCAGCCAGTATCGGTATCCTCGGAGTCGACATATCGAGTGACGTGCAGTTTCGTGGTCACTTGGAAGAGAAGGCCAAATTGGCCTCTAAAAAGCTTGGCGTGCTCAGCAGAGCGGGACAGTATTTCATGTCGGCACACCGCCTGCAACTTTACAAGGCGCAGGTTTGGCCTCACATGGAATACTGTTCCCATCTCTGGGCAGGGGCTCCCCAGTGCCAGCTCCTTCCACTTGACCGCATCCAGCACAGAGCGGCTCGAATCGTCGACGACCGAGACCTTTCCGACCGGCTCGATTCATTGGCACTGCGAAGAGATGTTGCATCCCTTTGCATTTTCTTTCGCATTTACCATGGGGAGTGCTCTGAGGAATTGTTCGGATTAATCCCAGCCGCCAAATTTCACGAACGCACATCGCGGCAGAACTCCCGATACCATCCACACCATCTGGATGATTGGCAGTCCACCACTGTGCGATTTAGAAGATGTTTTCATCCTCGCACGACTTACTTGTGGAATAGATTACCATCAGCGATTTTTCCGGACCGATACGACTTAGGGACCTTCAAGAAAAGAGCGTAGTCCTTTTTAAAAGGCCGGCAACGCATCTGCTATTCCCTCCCTGGTGTTGCAGTTGTTCATGGGCAGCGGTAGTCACTTACCATCAGGTGAGCCGTATGCTCGTTTGCCCCCTCTCCTATAAAAAAAAACTACAATGGAATGCCTCGTTTCCAGTAAAAAGGGTCTCCAGTTCTCTACATTCACGATACGAAACACAGCAGAATTAAGCTGTTATTTTACGTAGGTATTCTGTGAGAGCGTGATCATTCCCAGGTCGAGGAGACCTCTCCTCTCTTGGCTCTACCACGTAAAAATTGTTGTGCTTTGTATGGTAAGTGACCAAACCAGAGACCTTTTTTACTGGTGGCATTTCACGTTAATCCTCAGGCGTGAGAACGCATCTCTATTTTGATTCCCAATTGAGAATAGATGTATGTGTGCATCTATAGGCCACAGCCTTAAGTGCACTTACTAGCAAGAGGACTGTGACTACGTTTGCCACCCTTACTTCTTTAAAAATAGAGTTCAAATTTCAAGTTAAGGTTACATATACGTCTTATTACTGGACAGAAGCTTCTTCTCATTTCTGGAAGGTTCTTTAGATCATAAAAGTGTATGCCGCGCGTACCCTATGCGGTTCGGCGGATTTCACCCTCTCGTCTTCACTCGTTTGTGTTCGAAATATTTTTGTATTTTTCAGACATGCCGGTTTGTATAAGCTGGTAAATCAGCATTTAAAATTGCAATTACCAATTTAATTAGTGCCGGCGGGGATCGAATGCGAACTGCTGGCGTACTGGTGAAGTTGGTGGGCGCGGCTAATTACTTGATACACACACACACACATTAGAACATACATACGTTTAACTAACATAAGTTTAGTGAAGCGTCACGTTCGAAGTTGATGTTTACGAAAACTTTTTTAAAAATGGTGAAATGGACGAAAAATACGCACATTTATATTACAGTAAAGTTTGTTTGTTTGCAATTATGGCAATTCACATTGCTGTGTTAGTCCCTACTTTAATGTATGGTAGTGAAAGTTGGGTGTGGCAGAAGAAGCACGAGAGTAGAATAAATTCTGTAGAAATGCGATCATTAAGGAGTATTTTAGGGCTGAATATGAATGACAGGGTGAGAAATTGTGTGATAAGAGTAGAGTGTGATTTGCAAGATGACGTTGTGACCAGGATTAAGAAAGGAATGCTTCGGTGGTATGGTCATGTAGAAAGAATGATTGAGGAAAGAGTGACAAAGCAAATTTATGTTGCAGAGGTCAACGGCAGAGTCGGGAAGGGACGCTTTTGGCGAAAGTTTATCGCCCAAATTGGCGATATATTGAAAATGGACCAAATTAAGAGTACCTTTAACCGACGAGCATTCATGCGCGAGTATATGGATGTGGAGGAAGCGAGAGAGGCGTGTCAGGATCGTGCCAAATGGAAGTCCATAGTCTCTGCCTACCCCTCTGGGTGACAGGCGTGAGTGTTTATGTATATATTTATGTATATGTAAAGTTTGTTCTAGAAGATTTAAAGAAAAAACTATTTCCGGTAGCGAAAAAATATTTTACAATATAAAATTTAAATTTTCGGTTCTAATGCACATTGTATTATTACAATATCTCGAATTGATATCTTAAGTTTAAATTTAGACAACAAGTGATTAAAGGATTCTTCTGACATCTGTAGTGCAGAGAAAAACTCTTTTTTTTCTTCTCCTGTTACTTCATGAAACAAAATTGCTCTCGAAGCTTATTCATCTTCTCACCACCGATTTTACGATATTACCGTTTTCTGACTATTTCATCCTTTATTTCGTTTAAAGTCTCACTATGAATTAAATAACTGAATTTATGACAAGGATATGCTATTAATCGTCCATCTTGGGTAAGCTAAAACGCTTAACAAATATAAGTGTTGATAACGAGTAAACGCTTATTAAATAATATAAGTCGCTTAAAATTAACTCAAAATTTAGTTAATTACTTGACTACTCAAGACTTGTAATTTATCCTCTAACCGCTTTGTTGTTGTCCCAAAAATACCTACAATGTTATATTTTAAATACATGTAGTATAACAAGCTAAGGCTAGCAATCTTACTGCCTAATAAGTTCTTTTTTTATATGCTAGGCAGGAGCTTTTTATTCTTGTAAAGGTGTCTGTACCTACATGTCCTTGAAAATTTTCTTTTTTTCTTATACATTCAGGTTTCCTGACGATGTTTATATTTCACCGTCGGGTACGTGGGTAAATCAGTAATTAAAATTGCATTTCATTGGTGCCACTGGGGATAAAACTCGAATGGTTCGCGTTCTATAAAACTTAAGTGGTCTTATTCCCAAAAATGTTTTAGTACTGGTGGACCCTATAAGAAAAAATATTTGCCAAGAAAAAATTAAGAAAAGATTAACAATAATCTTTTTTTATTATATTTCGTACCTTGCGATGCGTAGACGCATTCGATCGGTCCGCCATCTTGCGTTATATAGCTCTTTTTGGTATTGCAAGCACTTAAATGGTATTTTTGGTAGGAATATTAGTATACTTTCTAATATAAAACAATAAAAGCTTGAAAAATTATTTTGATAAAGTCTCGGGATTTTCTAAAAGTTGAACATATCAAATTGTACACAGTACCAAGAATAGGGTTAAACCAGCACTAAAAGATCCAGGTTTGTTACAGTATTAAGGTTAATACCAAAATTAAAATGTGTGGTTATTACAAATGGCAGACTATCTGAGGACCCGTTGGTATGAAAGTTAGTACTGGTTTAAATGTCATTCACAGATAAGAAACAAAATATGACACTCTTTCATTCCTTCATACAGGTTTCATTCAATGCCACGTTCGGTTTCATTAAAGATTATTTTTTTTAGTCGCCTCTTACAATACCCACGGGATAAAATTGGGCAATGGAGTATTTTTACGTCACTACCGCACGGAATTAATAATCTTAGTACAAGAGTTCTATCACCAAATTTTCAAGTATTTTATACATTAAAATGACCAAACTCTACTAGGGTTTTTGCTATCTTTAAAAATTTACATAAGTGTTTCTAAATCGAGGAAAAAAATTTTGAAATAATAGTTTTAAGTTCGATTATTATCAAGTGGCTGCCTCGTATCGGTTAACGTATTGTTGGCTGGTCCGCCACTAGATGGAGTGACGATCTTGTAAAACACGCAAGGAGTCGATGGATGCAGGTGGCTTCGTTTTTTATGCCGTTCCTTGAGGCCTATATTTGCCAGGTGATTTGTGAAAGGCTGTTTTAGAAATGGTGATGATAGTCATCACTAGAATACTAGAAGGTAGGACTTCTTTTCTGCCTAGAAGTTCTAGTTCTAGAAGTCTGGATAGATAAATCACCCTCTATCCTGTTTTTGCCGCTAAGCAGCTGGGCGCGAACTGCTTTGTTTCGTTCTGAAAAGTAAATTGTAGGTAGTATAATTAGCCAGTATAATTTTTATGTGGCATTCCATCTGTTGTAACAACGCATTTGTAACCGTCTTTGTTTGAAGTTAGTTGTAGGTGTCAATGGGCTACAGTAGCCACTTACCATCAGGTGGATTATTAGTTCTTTAACTTTAAAAAAAAAACGTTACCACCACATTAGGATTTTCTCCTGTATCGTGGAGGCAGTTTACAAACATAAATTGCACAAAGACCAACATCCAGACCCGGAACAATATTTGTAGGTCATACAAATACTTGTTCCGTGCGGGATTCGAACCCGCAGCCCCCAGCGCAACAACTCATTGTTAAGCAACTGCGCCACGGAGCCGTCGAGTTCGTTTGTTCGTTCGTTTGTCATGTTAATTTAATAAATATAACGATTAACGACTTGGGCAACATTGTTCGGAACTACCAACATTTAAGTATTATCTAAGAATTAGCTTTTCAATCTGTCTCGTATAATATTGTTAATCTACGCAGGTATTCTTTGACAATATTTAATTTGTTTCCGGTCGAGTCGGCCTAATTCTTACTAAGTAGTAATTTACTATCTACTAGCTAACTTAGTAGAATTTTTTCTTATTGTTACGGCGCTATATTATTAATAATACATAATAATCAATTACTATATAAAGTTATCTAAAATATCATTTAAGTAATTTTTTTGAACAATTAAAATATTAAGTATTATGGTTAAGTAAAGGCTTAATATCGGCCTTATAATTTTATTCAATTTATCAAAACTCTGCTTAAAATATTCAAAAGGTATTTAAGTAATATAAATACAAGAAAATAATCATTTTTATAATAATAAAAATAGCTAACATTTATAAGTCATATATTATAACTGGAAATTGGGTCAAAATATTTCAAAATTATAGATAGAGCGTGTTCATACTCTTATTTTGTTAAATCTCAAAACCTAATGCTACAAATTTAAAAATAACAATTTCCTGTGTAATGATTTAAAGTTATAATACCTCCATACGAAGTTTGGAGACAGAATTCAAGGAGGTCAATTTTTCCCATAAATTTTATTGGAGATCTGCCGGAGATGCATTCAGATATTATATGAATATACGTATATACAGGTACATAAGTGAGGAGGTCGATCGCGACTGACTACCGAAGTACTGTTGTACAATGTAATTGTCCCATATTACATAAGGCTATATGATAGTAAGGTACTCGTAGCAATAATACAGAAGGTCTCTAAGATGCATAAACATTATAATAGTAGAGTTGGGACTTGAAGTCCCATATGTAAAAGACATATGAAAGTAAGGTCTATAAAATAAAGCAAATATGTGGAAGGTCTCAAATATATTATATTGATAGGAATGGGACTTGAAAAGGATTATTATAGTTTCGCGTAGATCGCCTTATCGTGAACGAGATGACATCGACCGCGGTGGTGAGCGGGTTTGTTGTAGCCATACGGCTATCCCGTGAACATCGCGCACCCGTACCGATTGTGTAAGGTACTCGTAGCAATAATACAGAAGGTCTCTAAGATGCATAAACATTATAATAGCAGAGTGGGGACTTGAAGTCCCATATATAAAAGACATATGAAAGTAAAATATAGCAAATATGTGGAAGGTCTCAAATATATTATATTGATAGGAATGGGACTTGAAAAGGATTATTAAAGATTTCGCGTAGATTTCATTATCGTGAACGAGATGATATCGACCGCGATGGTAAGCGGGTTTTTTGTAGTCATACGGCTGTCCCGTGAACATCGCGCACCCGTACCGATTGTGTAAGGTACTCGTAGCAATAATACAGAAGGTCTCTAAGATGCATAAACATTATAATAGCAGAGTGGGGACTTGAAGTCCCATATATAAAAGACGTATGAAAGTAAAATATAGCAAATATGTGGAAGGTCTCAAATACTCGTATATTATATTGATAGGAATGGGACTTGAAAAGGATTTTTAAAGATTTCGCATAGATTCCCTTATCGTGATCGAGATGATATCGACCGCATTGGTGAGCGTGTTTGTTGTAGCCATACGGCTGTCCCGTGAACATCGTGCACCGATGGGCGACGTCTAAGGACATATCGTTATGATACGTTGGCTATTCGGATTAGGGAAAGTGTGTTTGTTAGCAGCTTTTAAGTGTTTTGTTGCCAAAGTCGAAAGCGGTCATGTGGGTGTATTGTGAGGAGGCATCATCCGTATGATACTCGTAGTTACATGGATGTCTACTGCTACTTGCGGTTTTGTGTCTTGTGATAGATCTGCGTGAGTGCTGCTGTGCTGATTCGACGCAAGTTGTGATTCTGGTCGATGGAGGTATGCGGGTAGGGATGTCAACTGGGATCGCGTGGGGGATTTTGGGATGGCGTAGGCACGACGGTAGTCATATTGATGCTTGTTGCGTTTTACAGCATTGCGTCGCTGCGATGGTTGTTTGGCGAGTCGCTATTCTCAGTGACGCTCTCTGCGCCTTTTGACTCAAAAATAACTAGTGTTGCCGAAGTCGGGTCCCTTCATGACGAGGCTGCAGACTGTCTGACCTCCATGATGTTTTATATAACAACATAGTAAAGAGTCTCTGTTAATTTCCCACGTTTTAATGGATAAAGCCAACTTGTTGGCAGGCGAGATAAACACGAACGAAAAATGCATATACTCAACGTCAAATACATTAACCCTATCTGATGGCTGAAATATTATTAATATCATATATTTGCATTTGGCAATACCAGCCGTTGTATTGGTTGGAGGTGCATATGTGTCGATCTCATGCGGGTGGTAGCTGAAGGGAGGATACTCTCAAGGCTGAGGATGAAAGCCGCTCAACGTAGGATCCCATTCCCTTGAGGTGAGCAGTAGACTCATGTCACGCTCTACGGCTAGAAACCGTGCTGAACATATAATTGGTGGGGATGCCTTATACTTTCAACACGCCTGCAGGAGCGGCGGTCTTGCAGATGGTGGCACTCACGGAGGACTTTTTATGGCCAGTGTGCCTATTATTGGACGTATACCTAAACCACACGACGTTCACTGCGGCTGAATTTGATCGTATTCTGTATGGCATTAACACGCATTGAGATCCGCGACCTCTGCAGATGTTTGTGCTTACGCACTACCAATGGGCCGAGCCCTCCTTTACTGGTTTGCCAGTTATTTTGCGGTGGATGGTCCAGTCCCCAACTTTAAGTCCCTCGTCGAACAATTGAGCCTCCCCTCCCCCCTCTACCCGGGACCACAGGTGCTATAAAGTGCTCGAAACTTCGAGGATATAAAATAAGTTAATATACGCGATAAAATCCGTAAAAACTAGTTTTATTTAAATATGTAGTGTTCGCGTAGATATGAAAATATCATTAAGTTTCAACAAAAGCATTTCGAAATTTGAAAATATTAATTTGTTCTCGCTCGTAAAAATATTAAATTTTTCTTCGCTTATCTTGTGCAGAAAAGTAGGCTGTGCAAGATATTTAAAAATGTTTTGCAAAGCTCAAAAGTATTTTTGCGTATTAAGCCTCTAATGGAAAGTACAAAAATAGTTCGGTTCTGCCAACTTAGCTTGTCCCATCTTTGGTGGATTGTTCATTGGAGTACTATTGTCAGATGAGTCTTTTAACGCCGCATCCCGTCGCCAGTCTGGCTATTTTATATCTGTCTAGCACCTGTTCTCAAAGGCTGGAAAGACGAAATGCGGTAATGGATTTTCTTATAGCGCCTATTCTATTTTTTATGAGCTCGTAACAGTCGTACAGCTGGATATGAGCGTCGGGAGAGATAAGGAGGATTTGCCTTAATTTCCATGCTTGGCAGACTGATTGAGGATCGCAGCACCAGACTTTTCGCACCTATGTCACTGCTCCTCGCAATAAATGTCCTCCAGACCGAATTTTGACCCCGGGGGCCTGTCTGAATGGAGACTAGCCATCGCAGGACAGGATTATATTGACCGAGAGTGTGCGCAAGCCTAAGTGCATTCCCTATTTCCTCACTCTCATAGTCCGATGGAACAGAAACCCGACAGGAGGGAGTTCAGGCACCGGACTGACAGCTTTACCTGCATTCCAAGGCACGGGAGTAAAACAACGTGAACGTTCTGACTATAGGTTGTTATTGATAATTTCTTGCTAGAAAAACTCAATAACTGAGCTTGCTTTTTTCTTCCACAGGATGCTGGGCGGCGTGGGTGGTCGGCACGCCACGGTGCGGCGGCGGGGCAGCTCGCCGGGAGTGCGGCGCGGCGAGTCGCCGCCGGCGTCGCCGCGGCCGCCGCGCCGCCGCCGCGCCGCGCTCGCTGCCTCCGATCACAAGACATGCGCCCTCATACACACACGCCTCAAGCTGGGGGACATCATGTGAGTTTTCCTACCACGATCGATAATTTTCTACAATCAAAACTATCACCATCGTCTGTTTACGCGTTGGAGAAGTGTATAAATTATTTATATATTGTTTAAATATTTTCGTTTCATAAAATTAAGCCCTATATTTAAATAATTTACTCTTACTTAAGTAAAGTAAAGTTGTTCTTATCATTACTGGTTTTAAGGTAAGGATTAAGTCAAACGTCCACCGCGAACCATATGTGAAAACTAGGCTCACTGAACTAAGCTAAGCTAACCTGGAAAATCGTTGCACGTCCACCGAAAACTAAAAAGACTCCAGAGGGTTAAGGTAAGGGGGTGAGAGGCGCTTAGCTTAGTACGCGTAGTTTCAGATCAGCCTACACAACTAAGTTAGTTGGACTTAGTTTGGCTATTTTGCCTATCTTAGCTGGCATAGTTTGCGGTGGACGCACGTGTATGAAAAACTGGCTCAGATATGCGAGCTGAGACAAACTAATTTAGTTTAGTTTGCGGTGGACGTCCGCCGCGCTCTATGCGCACGTAATGCAATGGCGGACTTCACGTCTTTTATTTGTTCTTAAATTTCATAGACTTGCAGGTTTGCTCTCGACGTTTTCCTTCACCACGGAGCACTTGGTACATTAACACTTTAAATTGAAGTAAAAATTTAATTAGTGCCATTTAGGATCGAACTCGGATTTTCACTAAATCAGATCACCACAAAACTGCACAACGATAGGTGTTGAAAACGGATAAAAATGTCAGTGGTAATAAATAGCTAATGGTAATGAAACAAACTGTCTTCCTCGTGGCCCTATTTTTTCTCCGTCAGAGGTGTTAGTACTTGTTAGTTTTGCAAAGTTTCTGACGATGTTTTTCTTTACCGAAGCTGGAACTCGTTTAATCTACGAGCAAAATGATTCTTAATGATTCTCGATAACAGAACGTAGACGAAGTTCAGAAGGGGTAATCGATTTGTAGTTCAGAAAGCCTCCCGATGCCTCCCGATGCCTCCCGATTTACGATACCATGGAGGACGTAATTTAATAGCTTTCAGAAGCTAGCACTACGTACAGGTTTTCTACCTGCTTATAGAAGCTCCGCTGTAATTCTATCCTAACCCGGGGCCTTGCTGCAATAAGGTACTGAAGAGTCATTCTAATCACTAAGCTGACCTTGCCTTACACCTAAATGCCCTCTGTGTAAAAAGTAGAGAAGTAAATGAAAATATTTTCCAGGTCATATTGTAGTAACTAAGATTTTCCACTATATATACACGCCCTCTATTGATCATCTCGTAAACTCTATTTAAAGTATCACGACTTCCTAGCGCCATGTAGCGGTGGAAAGCGGAAAGTAAGTGAAGAAAGGATAACAATGTTATTACTTTAAAGCACTGCCCTCTAGTTGTCAATGTATACCTGGAATGAAACCTTTATAAGGACGTCCATGTTGCGAAAAACTTTGATATTCTCTTTCATGATAAAGTAATAAAGATGGCTCTAGTGGATGCTTAATTGCAACTTAAAGTTACTAAGATTTCGTAAAGATATAAATCCAGGTTTTGTTTTTTTTTTAAATAAATGATTAAATTATATATAACTTAAATATTATAGAGCATGAAACAGTTTTGGGGTTAAATAAATTTAACTTCCTTTGTAGAACAAATAGTTCTAGTTCTGTTTGGTTGTTTAATATGATAATAACAGACATTATCGATAACAAGTTGCAATTAAAACGGCAAGTAAGACTTACAAATTGAAATTCGTCATAAGGGAACGTTGTGAAAGTCATCGGCTTTTCACCTTTGGCCAGTGTAAATGGAACATGCTATACTTACTAGCTCCACGTGGCCAGATGCCATTATTGATTTCCGGCGGTAGAGCGAGGCAGAGCAATACCACAATTTGTTGCACTATTTTCCTTCTCGCTCTGTCGCCAATATATGACCTATTTTTATGCTGCTTTCCCTATACAGCAAAGTAATTAGGTGAAAAGTTGAGTTGTCGATGTAATCTAAATTGTGGCTTTATGTTTATGCCTATTAACGGTAAACTCATGGTAAAAAATGTAATAAATTTTAGTTTGACTCGCTTATTTTTATGGAGTGTAACGCTAGTATTCTACTAATCGTTGCTTATACAATAACATTCTTTTGTATGATAAAAAAATTCTTCATTATTTCACAAATATATATTTACTAAATCACAGGTACTTTTTGAATAGAAAAAAAGGGAATTCAGATATTTAAAAGGGTCAGGATGACACACAATCTAACTGGTTGTGGATACTTATAGATACTGCTAATAGGCGTTTTATACGTGGTAAAGCCATGCTGCAGTTATATTAATAGTACTTATAGTTGTAGCACGAATGGGTCGGCTCTCTTATAGTTGTAGGACGCCCGCACGAAGGACCACGCTCTCACAGAATACCACCGTAAAATACCAGCTTAATGCTGCTGTGTTTCGTATGGTGAGTGTAGAGAACCGGAGACCCTTTTTAATGGAAAAGAGGTATTCCATCTTATTCCTCACGGGTGAGAACGCATCTGCATTTTAATTCGCAAACGAAAATAGATGTAGATGTCTATGGGCCACAGCAACCACTTACAATCAGGTGGACTGTGTGCTCGTTTATCACCCTTATTCTATAAAATAAACCTACATCTATCCTCTATTAAGATTAAATATTCTAATGCTTTATCACCGTTGAGGACTAAACAGAAGGGTTAGTTACTATTAATTAAAAGTATATTTGGATCTAGTCACTCATCAAACGAAATGCTGCATTAATACAGTTATTTATTTGTTTAAAATTCGAATTCATTTATTCGTTTGCGATATATGGGTTACAATAGGTCTTAATAATTTAACAAAAATACATCCATGTTCTACCATACGGCATGCAAACTAATTAAGTATAGTCAGCGTCAAAGGAAAGATAGCAGTCAAGGTGATCAAATATTTAGAAACATTCAAAGTGATCATTAATATTCAACCATCCAAAGTAGGCAAATTCTTATGATCACCAATCTTGCTCAAATATATCGGAACATAATATACAGCGACAAATATATGATTTCAGTCAAACAGTCTATAATAAAATAACAACCAAAACTTCAATGGTAGCGAAGCAGCTAAACTATTCAAAAATGCGGGACACAACAGGAAATTAACTTTATCTTAATACAATTGAGTGCAATTTGTTTTGCTCTAAGTTTTGTTATAAAAGATATACATTTTACTTCATACTAAATTATTATTGTTCCTTGCAGTACCTACTATAATTTCGCTTACCCTTTACCACATGAGTAAAGAAACCGTCTTCTTTACTCTGTGTCTTTACCACAGATTAAATAATGTTACATTGACATGTTTCATCCGTTTATTATTTGAAAATCTTTTTTTTTTGATGATTGTAAATTAAATTATTTTATCTCAACTTTGTAAGTAGTAGCTTTCGCGTGCTTAATTTGCGTGTAATAGCATAAAAATAAAAATCTTATATTATTTTATACTTATTGAAGACTTAGCATTTGATGCGATAATTATTATTTTTTTGCACAACTATTGATACCCATACAAAAAGACTTAAAAAAAGAGAATTTGTACAATATGATATTAGTATAATTTTATTTTCCTGAAGTGTTCCACATTTTTTAATAATTTGACTGCTTGGATACCATTGACGTTTAGTTTGTTACTATAATTTTGAACGGTTTAAATGAACTCATATGGTGGCCACTCACGGTCAGTTAAAATTATCAGTTTAACTGACGTACATCCAAAAACTGACCGTGAATGTGAAATCTTAAGTTGAAATTTTAACTGACGGCAACCCACTTATTTTTCCGGGCGCACAGTAATCCGCTGAATTCAGTTGGTCTCCATCCTCTGTCAAACCAACTTCTCTAAATATATATGACGGCTCCGTGGCGCAGTGGCTTAGCAAGGAATTGCAGCGCTGGTGGGCGCTGGTTCGAATCCCGCACGGAACAAGTATTTGTATGGCCTACAAATAATTGTTGCGGGTCTGGATGTTTGTCCTTGTGCAATTTGTGTTCGTAAACTTCCTCCACGTTACAGGAGAAAATCCTAGTGGGGGTTACGTTTTTTTTAGTAAAATATATATATATATATATATATATATATATATATATATATATATATATAAAAGCTACTAAGAAAGTATGTACTTACCAATAATGGAAACGAACTGAATCCAGCGGATTACTGTGCGTCCGGAAAAATAAGTGGGTTGCCGTCAGTTAAAATTTTAACTTAAGATTTCACATTCACGATCAGTTTTTGGATGTACGTCAGTTCAACGGAGCAGTTTAACTGACAGCACGCCCGAATAAAATCCGTGTGTTGCCGTCAGTTAAAAAATTTCAACTTAAGATTTCACATTCACGGTCTGTTTTTGGATGTTTAACTGACCGTGAGTGGCCACCATAAGAACGTGGACCTTCCCCGGTAGAAACATCTCATTCATGCTGCAGCAACAACGTGGATCTACTACGTAACATTAATAATTGACATTATATAATTATAATAAATTATGTACAATATTGAAAACACTAAAATTATACTTATTATATATAATCTTTATATATAAAAATCATCACAATTATAAATTTATGAGACTTAGTGCTTCTTACGAAATTAATTTTATCCACAGACGACTACTATTTTTTCTTATCATTAAAGCCATTATATAAAAATAGACGAAGTGAAATTATATCAGGTCTTTATCTATGAAATTGCCGTTTTTTTATGAAATATGTTAACATATTTTTTTTCTAAATTTCTTATTTCTATTAATCAAAGTAATCATCTATGCAATCGATGCATCTTTGCCAACGCAGTTTTAGTTTATTGATCTTATTATATTACTAGCTGTTCCCTGCGACTTCGCCCCGTGTTATTTGGGGTTTTGATTTTTTAGCGTGGAACCCTAATTCTTTTCCTAAAATAAAAGTAGCCTAAGTTACTCCTTGTGACATCAGCT